AGCCCCCTTCACCAGGAGGACTCTTACACTCTATGCTTGTAGCTTTAGACTTGACATGATTACATGTTTAATTTCATTTGCACTGTACGTATCTATCTTCAGCACTGTCTGCTAAGACAATCCTCACTGTTTATATGTTTCAATCACCTGTAGTTTATTCATATCTTTTTTGTTTTTCATAAAAGTGATTGATCAAACTTTTATACTGTAGCATTGCCTTTTAACAGAACAGATTGTTGCATTTGCATAACAATTCCTAGACTGTAGTTTTTAATGTTTTCATTAGTGTAGATCATAGTAATTTGGTAAAACCGTACAGACATGTGTTCTTGTTTATAAGGGAATGTTAATATTCATGATTCCTCCTTACATTCTTAGCATATGTAATATGCGTCGTGCCCGAATACGGCTTCTGTTTTGATGCAGTTATCATTTGTTATGGTTAATCAAGGAGAGGGCACTCAGTTCCTAGTTTCGTTAATTGTTGCAATGTTTCACTAGATAGGTTCCGATGAACAAGCAATATACCTAGTCTGCTTCATGTCTTCGAAACAAAAGCATAGGAAAGTTAGGAAACCATATTTACTTGTCTGTATCTAATACTTTTGGCACTTGGCGAGTTCATCAACGAGGCTAATCAGCTGCTATACTTCATTGCAGAAGTAGATTACAGTGCATGTAGTCATGCTAAGTGAGCTGTAGTTCCACTGTACTGAGATGCATCTCTTGATGAATATGTATCAACTACCTTACAGAAAATAAACACACAGTTAATTTACTACTACCTGCCATTCCTTAATAATAAATTAATCAAATGAATTTAATGTTACATTACGTAGAACAAGAAATCATGAATCAAACTACTCAGTGTATCTATTAATGTTGTTACTATAATAATTGTTACACTCAGTAGCTGTTTCTCATTGAATCATATATTTTATATGAGGGATGTTGTCTGTAACGTCTTAGTGATAATTGTTACAGCATATCCTGCTACTGAATTCCTAGTAATGGTCATGAACTGCGATAGTTACATTACTGAGAGCATCATCACTTGCGCGAACATTAAATTTAGTTTGGTTGTCTATGACAAATACCGAGTAGATTGGAGTAGAAATGGCAGCCTGTCATTTAGTTAACATTAACAAGATAGCCCTATTTTGGCAGCTTTCTGAAGGTAGAAAACCAAGTCTATTATTCAAGGCACATGAACTAAGCAGTATGTTTGTCAACGGGCTGCTTAATTCCTATAGCTGAGTGCATGACACCGTCTTGCAAAGCCACATTAGATTGGTGAATATGGCTGCTTGTTCTTTGTGATTTTTCAGATTCTCCAAAGTTTGCATCGGCTTGTTTTTACTTTTGAGTGATTATATTACTTGTGTTCTACAAATATGGAAGTATTTGAAATTTTATTCTGAACATTGTTTGCCCTCTTGAGTAGATTTTTTCTTATTTCAGTCAATATATCTCACTTAAGAAGAATTTTATTCAAGGCATTGTATGCTCTCTATCGTCCAAATATCCTAGATGAATTGGGGCTATGATTGCCGTTTCTGTCTGCAGTGATTCTGATGTTCATGATTCGTCGTTCTATATACAATTATTTCCCACGTTGTCATAATACTTTTAGCATGGATTACAGTAGAAGCATGAAAAGGGAAAATTCACATGAGTCTCACTTAAATTTGGTTTCGTACAGCAAGTGCCAAGTAGAGCAATGGTGTTTTGAGCTTCCGCTAGCATTGTGCACCTCCTCTGTCATTACTTTTGAGAACAATGCAAGTTTTAACTGATTTCGAAGATTGTTACCTGATCGATGGAGCTCATTCAAGATCACTTGACTATCTCTAATCAGCTTCATGTCAGCAGCATATTTTGTCTGCCAAGTCTCATGGTTTGAGCAGTTTGTGCTAAAGACAAAATTCCAGACTGAAACAGTAGGTCCATGCATCATTCTATATACAATTATTTCCCACGTTGTAATAGTACTTTTAGCATGGATTACAGTAGAAGCATGAAAAGGTAAAATTCACATGAGCTTCTACTTAAATTTGTTTTCTTACAGCAAGTGCCAAGTAGAGCAATGGTGTTTTGACCTTGCGCTTGCATTGTGCACCTCCTCTGTCATTACTTTTGAGAATATTGCAAGTTTTAACCGCTTGGAAGATTGTTACCTGATCGATGGAGCTCATTCAGACTACCTCTAATCAGCTACATGTCAGCAGCATTTTTTTTCAATAACGCAGGAGAGCTGCCCTTGTTTGTATTAGAGGAAAGAAAAGGCCCCCATCCATCACACACATCTCATACGGGGACCAAATATGAGAGGTGGTTAAAATAAATTATCTGTCAGCAGCATATTTGTCTGTCAAGTATCATGGATCGAGCAGTTTGTGCAAAAGACGAAATTCCATACTGAAAGAGTAGGTCCATGCATCCTCTCCCAGCATGGCCTACATTTCCAGAAAACTTAGCATATAAGCTAGGTATAAGAGCGGAATCAACGGTCTGCAATTTTACAATAGTGAGATGCAGCAGAAAATCTCATCTGAGAAAATGTCTAGTCTTTCGAAACCATTTGTAGTATTCTCTCTGTCACACATAAGTTATGTTTTGAAATTGTCGGAAGATTCCAAACTTTGGCTGCTACTTTTTGTTCCAACTATCTAAAATATAAAAAGATGGATATATTTATAAACTATTTTTCAGAACAAATATACTCGTATCACTTCCGAACATTCAAAATCAACAGACAAAATGTACCTTATAGTAAAAAAACTCAAAGTTTGGAATACGGATGGACAACCTTAAAGTGTTATTTATTTGTGACCAGAAAGAGGATGCAAATGTTGTTGAAGTATTGATAAGAGTCTTGTCGTGTCCCAAGTTGTTCTCCAAACCAATCACAATCTAAATTTCATCTCATCAACTGATGCGATGAATAACACCAGGTAAACATCTAGGTATAAATGTTATAACTTATAAGAAAATCATATTGCTTGGAGAATTGTTCTTATAGTTATTGATATATATGTACTGGGTGGTGTGGATTTGCTTTAATTTATAGTGGTACTTAGAACAATCCCAACCCAAAAGATAGAATTATTTATATAGTCATTAATAAGGTGCCAACTATGTAAAATAATGATCTGGTAGTGTAATTCAGGAACAGAGAAAAGAAAATAGTTTCTTATAAAAAATATTATGTCTATACGAGAACCAAGATAGAAAGAAATATGATATGTGAACGATAGAAGAGAGATGTTGCTTTATTTTGGGATAGAGGGCAAGTATTGACATTTCGTTCACCCATCTATAAAATAAACTAGTATAATGTACCCGTAAGAATCATGGATTTTCTGTATTTGTTTTAGGGAGAAGTTCATTTTTTTTTTGCCATCTAACCATTGTTGAGTTTGTTTTTTGTAGTCTTGCAACTTTAAAACCAGAAGTCTTTGACCACTGTATTATTTAATACTGGACAAATTTGGCCATGTAACTAATTACAAAAGTGGTTTTGTATTTTTTTAGATTATAAAACCTAGTATATTTTCTAAAAATTCATAACTAAGTCATTTCAAAACAAAAAAAAATACAAAAGTAATACCAAAATTTTTCTAAGAATATAGTTTATGTATTGGTACTCTATTTGGAGTATTCATATGTTATTTGTTCATATTCTTAGTGTTTTATTGCTCGTAATGAAGTTTGTTACTCCCTCCGTTATAAATTATAAGTCGCTTTGATTTTTTTGGTTCATTTATTTTGCTATGCATCTAGATATAATAATATTTCTAGATACATAGCAAAATGGATGAACAAAAAAAGTCAAAGCGACTTATAATTTAGAACGGAGAGAGTACTTAGTTAAATCATCATTTTACACTATATTATACCCGATATTGACCAAGAGAATCCATTGTAGACTATGGGGTAGTTTTGGTAGAGGTCTCCTTCCTAATTCTTGAGTTTCACTTATTGTTCTCTAATGGAGTGATTCTGGTGAAGAAGCACGTGAGAAGTACATAATTTTGGCGTGATTCTAGTGGTGATTGAATAAGGAGTAGTGGGGAACGATTTTTTTAGCTTCTAGCTTGTAGTGTAAATGGAAAAGTGATCCTTGTCACCTCCGGCAAGAACCCAATTGCATTTTAACTTTTTGGTTGGCTCTATAAAGTAAACATAACATCCGCACCTACTATAGCAATGCTACCCATCTAAAAATAATTTGATCAATTTAACAACAGCATATTTTGTACTCTAATTTGAGCATTGGTTCTCTTGGTTGATCTCTCAGTTTAATATAGCATAAAATGTTAATCTAAATAAATAACGAGTATGACTACGAGCAACAAAACACTAGGAATAACTACAAACAAGATACAAATAACTCCAAATAGATGACCAATAGAAAGGTTATACTTTTAGAAAACATTTATTTTTTATTAAAATGAATTAGTTTACAAAATTAACCACCTTTGAGAATAGCTAGATACCAAATTTGGCCCATATTGATGGTGGCTAAAGATTTTATATTTTAGGCATAAACCAAACTCTGGACAATAGTTGAATGTCCAAAAATATATTTGTTTCTATTAAGTTCCTTTTTTTGGTGGACGGAGAAGATACAGAGAAAGATGGGGTGTGTGGTGTTGGCTCCGAAAGTGGGCCAGCAATAATGGGTCTGCGTATGGGCCGAATTTGTTACTCCTACCGCCAAAGATTCGTTGCACTCACGTATCGATGGTTTCCTGGGCGCCGCCGGTTTCGCCGCCGCCGCCGGCGGCTTCTCCAGCAATCTTCAGAAGTTTGGTTCACCACTGCCACGATCTCTTCGCTGCCGTATGCATTCCCTTCCGAATTAACGGCCCCTTTTATTTGTTCCCTTCTCTCTTTTTCTTATCGGAAGTGCAGGGAAGGCGTCGCGGCGATTCATTCCGCTCCGGCCTTGCTGCTCATCGCCGTCGCAATAGTTCGACACCTATCCACTAATCCACATGACGATGCCGACGGCAGTTTCTACGTGCACAGCGAAGACAGAGCAATGCATGCTTGTCTTTGAGATCTTTGATTACAGCCAGCACAGGGGTATGGGGATCGGTGAGTTTATCAGATCCGGCACCTTCTCCGTCGGTGCCTACGACTGGGCCATCCGCTTCTATCCCGACGGGGACCAGCAGAATTACTCGGGTTACATCTCAGTTTATCTCGAGCTCTTGAGCAGCGACACCAAGGTGCGGGGCAGCTGTGAGTTGAGGCTGGTCGACCAAACCACCGGGTTGTCCACGTCAGTGCACAAGACTGAGCTGAGGTTGTTCAGGTCTTGTGATTCTACTAGATTTGCTGCTGCACAGGCTGTCATGAATCGGAGCCAGTTCGAGGCATCATCCTACCTTAAGGATGATCACCTCACCATCCAATGCATCACAACTGTAAAACAACCACAGGTGTCTGGACCTGAATTACTGAACGATATTGAGGTCCCGCCATCCAACATCGCTGTGCTTCTTGGCAAATTGTTGGATACAGGCGAAGGAGCAGATGTCACTTTCAGTGTTGGAGGAGAGACTTTCACAGCACACAAGATAGTTCTCGCTATGCGGTCTCCAGTTCTTAAAGCAGAGCTGTTTGTGCAAATGAAGGAGGCGAAGGAACAGCTTGTGACCATACAAGACATGAAGCCTGATGTGTTTAGGGCCCTACTGCATTTCATCTATACCGATTCCTTGCCTGATATGGATGATCAAGATGGAGAAGGTAACAGAGAAATGATACAGCATTTGCTTGTGGCTGCTGATAGATATGCTGTGGACAGGATGAAGTTGGTATGTGCAAGCATCCTTTGCAGGAATCTTGATGTCGAGACCGTGTCTGCTACTTTGGCTTTGGCTTACCAGCATAACTGTGACAGGCTTAAAGATGTTTGCCTAGAGTTCATCACCAGTTCATCAGACGTGATGGATTCAGTGGTGGCAACTCAAGGTTATCAGAATCTTAAGGCAACTTGCCCTTCTGCACTAGTAGATGCATTTGAGAAGTCATCAAAGAGGTTCCGAAAAACATAATTAAGGTTGTTGTTTGAAGCTGTTCATCGAAGCAAGTTCTCAAGTTACACAAATTTTCTAAAGATTTTGCTCTAGCAGCTCCATATATCGTTTAGCAGCAGCAGCAGCAGCTTAGTGTTAGATGAATCCTAAAATTTGAATATTTCTTTTCAGCAAAGAGAACTGTCGTTGTTTTGCAATGTCTGTACATCCTGTCATCAATCTAGTAATGTTCAGTTGCACATTTAAATTTCCCTATCAATTTGCTGGCTTTCATGTGCCTAAACCTTGATTGCTTCTGCTGGGTTTCAACTCTAGCCTACCCAAACTTGTTTGGGACTTATGTTATCAATTTGCTGGCTTTATCTATTGAATGAACAGCTAAATGTGTGAATTGTCCACTTTTCTGAATTCTTGGTAGTACTCCCTCTATATAATTTATCAATTTTTTATCATGTATAGAATTCCTTTTTTTTCTTTTGTTCACTTTTTCTTGAAATAATAGAGATGCTACATGATGTGTAATTCTGTAATGCACTGTCCATTATTGACAAAGGCTGCCCTCATAAATTGGAAGACTTTGAAAAGACGGAAAGAGGTTTGGCGTGCATATTAATATAAAGTATTTTTCGATTTTAGTAATTAATTTTTTTTACCGTTTATTTTTCCCTATAACAGTCTAAGATTTGCAATTGATTATATAACTAAGATTCTCATGTGTTTATATTTGCATCTGTATTTAAATAGTAAGTATTTTTTTCTCAATTCATAAGCGTAACAAATCAAACTTTTAAAGGGACATTATGGGAAATTAGTATGTTTAGTTGATTAGGCACCAGAGTCACTGCAGTAGTTGGTTTTTCAATGGCTTTTTTTAACCAATAGTTGATTCAAGCCTGATAAGATAATGTTGAAGCGGAATTTTCTTAGTTTATTGAATTCAGTACTCAATGCAAAATTAAATTAGGGTTCACTCAGTTTTATTGCACTGATCTCAAATGAATTTTAGAAAGTTGTACTAGGTTTGTACCTGTGTGTTGGTATGGGAACAAAAAAAATTAAGGCAATAAAGGAAATTCGAGGACATATTTGTCTGTAGAAAAGAAAATTCCATATATTCTTTTATGCTTTATTGTTTTCGAACTACAGATCTGCAACAATGGTTTTGAATGGTCTGCATTCATTGATTTTACTTCATTGGCGACGGATGAGGAAAGAAAAAAGGAATTTGCAAGCCAGGATGGAAAATGGTTGATGTCACACTTCGTTATGCCATACTTTGACTTATATTTGTAATTTTGTATCATATCAGTAGCAAGTAAGCTTTCTTCTATATATGGTCGAGTGAAAATAATCAATGTCAGAGCTCTAAGGTATGTTTGGTTGACCTGTGTAATATGTGGAAAAGCTATTATGAGCTTTGAAAATTTTGCTATGAGTTGTGAGCTGTAAAAAAAAGCTGTTTGGGAACTATGTGCTATGAAAAATTATAAGTTGTTTGGTTAAAATAACGATAATGATTCTATGAGGACGTCCGTCCCCAAACTTGCGTCCGGACACGGCCCATGACCCCCCACTCCCATCCCGCGACCACGCCCTGCTCCCCCGCGCCCCCCACTCCCATCTCGTGATCGCCCCGCTCTGCTCGCCCGCTCACTGTCGCCCACACCGCACCATGCTCCGAGCCTGCTAGCGCCCTGGGACGGACGCCACGCCGCGCCCAGCTCGTTGCCGCCCTGCCCGCATGCACTCCCTCCCTCCGCCTTCCGCTCCTCCCACCGAGATGAGGACGACAGCGGCAGCTCCGACGACGTAGGTCGTTTCTCCCTTTGGATCTGAGGGACGCGGCGGTGGCTAGGGTTCCGGCGACCTCTGTGGTCCTATTCCCTCCTCTCTTCGCGAGCTCAAAGGTGATGGGCCAGGGGGCTGGAGCAGCCTGCACCTCGAACCCATCCCCTTGCTGTTTTGCACGCATTTTTTTGTTGTTTCTCTGTGTTGCAAGAGGGACTTTTGGATGTTGCAACAAATGATTTCCGAATATTGCAATAGGTGATGTGGCACTATATAGAATGACTGACATGACACTACGTTAGTAAAACTACAATCAAAACTGCCATGTCTTTAAAAGTTCTGCCCACCCGGGTTCAAAGTCCTCGACTTGGCACTAGTGCTCGCATTTTCTGGATTTATTCCAGAATTTAACGGCGCTATGCTTTCAGTGGTAGGCGACGTCCCCGTCGACAACGAGACGCTTATAGTGACTTCGTGAATCTCGAGATCTGCCGGCTCAGTCCTTCAGAGATGCTCATAGGGGTAGGGTTAGCGTACGTGTGTTTATAGAGCTAAGTATATGTGCGTGTTATAGGCGTCGACGTTGTACTGTGTAATTTAAAAAAATCGAACGATTGTGAAAGTTGAGGTATCTCAGAAAAACTTTTTCCTACGAGAAATGGTGGTCCACGAAGCCACAATGAGCTTAGGTATGGGCCTAGTCGGACCGGGCTGTAGAGTTCTGCTGGGCTATTTTGGGCCCAGGTGGTACGCTTTAGGAAGCCCATTGCATCATCTTCCTTTCCCAAAGGCCGAAGCAAAACAGAACCTCATTGTAAGTCTGAAAAAAAAAGAACCTCATTGGCTTGCTTTACTCTCTTGCATCTCCTCACCTTCCCCGGCGCGCCGTCGTTTGCCAGTTCACCGCCGCCGACGCCGACAGCCATCTTCGGGAGGTTCGATTTTACTCCACAACCTCATCTTCGCTCCCCTCTAGGATGTACCGCGAATTCTGATCAATTAATTTGCGATTCTTTCTTTATTTCTCGCCGTAAAAAGTCTAGGTCACGCGCTTAATGCCGCCACTGCGTCGATTCTGCCAGTTCTTGCCGTGGTCATCGCCGTCGATGGCTCGCCATGTTCCGACGCCGACGACGGCGTCGACGTGCACCCCGGAGACGGAGCAAGGCAGGCACTTGTTTGAGGTCACCGGTTACAGCAAGCACAGGGGGATGGGCCACGAAAAGTTCATCAGGTCCGGCACCTTCTTCGTCGGAGGCCACCAGTGGTCCATCCGCTTCTACCCGGATGGGAGCATCAAAGACAAAGATTACATCTCAGTTTATCTCGAGCTCATGAAGGAGAAGGAAGGCTCCAAGGTACGGGCATCCTGCGACCTGAAGCTGGTCGACCTGACAACAGGGTTGTCGGCTTCAGTGCATAGGACAGGGCCTAGAATGTTTAACTCCGGTGATGTCAGTAGGTTTGCTCGTCAGGATGGCTTGTTCAAGAAACGAAGCGAATTTGAGGCATCGGTGTACCTTTGAGATGATCGCCTTGTGATCGAATGCATTGTCACTGTTATGACAGAACCTAAGGTATCTGCAACCAAATTGCCCACAAAAATTGAGATGCCCCCATCAGACATTGGAAATCATCTTGGCAAGTTGTTGGAAGAAGAGGAGTGTGCAGATGTCACATTCAGCGTTGGAGGATAAACTTTTACAGCGCATAAGCTTGTGCTCGCAATGCGGTCGCCAGTTTTCAAAGCTGAGTTCTATGGTCCGATGAGGGAGAGGAGGACGCAGCTTATGACCATTGAAGACATGCAGCCTGCTGTGTATAGGGTCCTGCTTCAATTTATCTATACCGATTCTTTGCCTGACATGAAGGATCTTGTGGAAGATGTCAACTGCGAAATGATCCGGCATTTACTTGTGGCTGCAGATAGATATGCTTTGGATAGGCTCAAGTTGATTTGTCAAAGCATCCTTGCCGAGAATCTTAATGTGATGACTGTGGCAACTACATTGGCTTTGGCTTATCAGCATAACTGCAACATGCTTCAGGATGTTTGCCTCGAATATATCACCAGTTCAGATGTGATGGATGCAGTGGCAGCAACCGAAGGTTACAAGAATCTCAGGACAACCTGCCCTTCTGCACTAGCAGATGCATTTGAGAAGACGATGAAGTTGCGTAGAACATAAGAATCTTGCCTTAGCTGTCCACCAGTGTATCTTATTAAATTATTACAATAGCTTGTCTGAATCTGCTAGAGCAGCTCATTATAATTTTAACCTAGGGATGAGTAGCCCAGTATAAGATGAATTGATTGAGAACTATCATGTGTGTCATACTTAGTCCTATACTCTATACTAATATGTCTAAAAATACAAGTTGTCTACTTTTTTCGCACAATGCTATGATGGACTCATAGCTTTAAGCATAAGACTAGAATGCTGTTGAGATTACTGTGAGAAATATGAGATAGCTTGGACAGTCACAATTTTACCTCCTTGGTCACTAAGTTTTACGATTTGTGTATGCTGATAGCAGTACGATATCGACAATGTTGTGCATGATTTTGGAGGTTCTAGTGCTTTCAATATATGCTTGAGTAAAATGATCATTTGGATTAATGTTTCCATGTAACAAAACAAGCATATAACAATTTAAATCATAAAAACTCAACCAACCAAGAAGGTATGTGGGTTTTGATTATGAAGAAATAGGCTCCAAATTTCACCTCAGCGAGGGTTGAACTTGGTTGGTCTTGGACTCTGGGTGTACATCCATTCCCTCGAGAAACTAAGCTAGGTTCAGTTGCTAAATCAAAAGAAAGCATGAGCAAGTGTACTCAGTTGTGATTTTGGACGGTCATGTTAGTTACCAACAGCTGATTTGACACCCATGGTACTTAGTGCATAGTTAAAAGCTAATTTAGGATTGACTTCAAATTCTGTTCTATTAAGTATTAACCTTACTCGAGATCTATGTAAGGCGAGGTACTTGCTTAGTTGCTTGTTGGTATTTATGATGTCTTTTTTGTGTGTTAAAGTTTGATTAGTTAATTTTTCATAATTTACAAAGAATCATTCAAAATAAGATGCATTGGCAAGTAAAATATTGCCACTCCATACACACTGGTAGTATTTCTTTTGCTAGGGTATACATTCTTGGAGTTATGAGGGCAGTAGCAACATAAGCATAAATCACTCTGTGTAAAGACTGAAAGCTCTCATGCTTCCTCAGTTAACTTGGCTGGCACTGTTTCTTTCTTCAGCAGTGTCAGATAGGCCATCCTCAAGTTTTCTGTGACTGGTACTATATGAGCCTTCGATATCTTTCATAAAATTTATCTTTAGAGTTTGTCTTATAATGCCTTTTGGCAGAACGGATAGGATGCATTTCCATGAAACTAATTTAGCAAAGCTTTGCTAATGCTGCCATTGAGGGGAACGAATGAAGCTACTTTACTCCTAAAATTTCCAAACTGTGATTTTTAGTATTTGCATCGTATCTTTGTAAAAAGTATGTTCTTGATTTGTAGAAGGGTGGTGTAAATATCCACTGCTGTCTTATATTCATGTTCATCCTATCTAATAAGTGGCATACAACTTTTGTTTCTATGCATATCTCAGTAGTTCTATGATACTGGTGAGTCCAGGAGTTGACACGAGGTTGTGAGTTTCATATTGGGCTTGTACTAGATTTGTACTGATATGAGTTAGCAATACAATGAGGATGCAGCTTATCTTAAAAAATGCTGTGTATTGGCCCAAGTTGATATGTCAAAGCATCTTTTTGTGAGAAACTTGATGTGAAGACCATGGCAGCTACATTGGCTTTGGCTTATCAACATAGCTGAGACAGGCTTAAGGATGCTTGCCTTGAGTTCATCACCACTTCGGATGTGATGTATATAGTGATAGCATCCCCAGGTTATAAGAATCTCAAGACAACCTGCTCTTCTGCACGAACAGATGCATTTGAGAAGCATTGTGGTTTCTTACGCCCAAACATTTTTATTTTATTATTCATGTTAGAGTTCAAAGATTAGTTAACAATTTTTTCTGAAATATCAACCATATGGATTATATTTGATTGATATCTATAGGATGCATGCTGCGATGGTACTAGGAGAGTGCGAGCTTCTCTGGGGTTGATCTGAATTATTGCCACGGAGTTTGCATCAAGTGATTTTCACTTCGTAGAATACAATACCCACTATCTAAAATTTGAAATATTATTGGTTATTAAAAGAAGAAATCTCATTATTAGTACTTCTATTGTGGTGACCAATGGTGCATCTTCGTGAATATAACTTATCCCTTTTTGGATGGATCCTATCTCTATTTCTATACTCTACAAAAGAATCATTATAATTTTATTACTTAGAAATATTATTGTTACTCAAGAAGGAATGTCATTATTAATACTTCTATCATGGTGATCCAATGATGTACTCCCTTTGTCTCATCAAGATATAAGGCACGATTTGACTTGGTGCGGTCTTCAAGATCATACTTTAACCATTAATTTATACTACTGTGTGTAATTTATGGCAACAACAAAAGTATCATTGGAAAGTATTTGTACAGACGATCTAATGTTACCACTATTATACTATAAATTTTTATATTATTAGACTAATTATTGATCAAAGATAACAAAGTCTAAATTTTGAAATACGTGCATGTGTTATATCCTGAGATGGAGGGAGTATCTTCGTGATTATAACTTTCCCCATTTTGGATGGATCCTATCTATTTCTTTACCCTACAAAAGCATTATTATATTTTTATTGTACATAACAACTTTGAAATTATTTACACTAATTGTTGACACTTCTAATTGAATCCAGACGAACTATCCACAAATCCTTCTATAAAATTCCCGTAGCAACACGCGCGTGGGTCGTCATCTAGTTTATTTATACACTAGTGTGATTACTTCTACATCTTATTTCTCCTAACTTTATTTAAATTACTTTTATATTCCCACAGTAACGCGGGGAATTCGCCTAGTATCTTATTATACTTGGAACCTTCACTTTACTGTCACGTACCAAAGCTTTAATTTCAACTATATGAGGTAATTCGGAAATTTGAAAGGAATGGGAGGATTTGTACTCGAAACCAAGGCCCCATTCTCTTGATGGGCCCCTTTGAACAGGTAGGCGGAGGCCCACTTAAGACTCTAGATGACTAGAATCACAGCGAGTCAGTCACGGCCGTTTCATTTCGGAAGTGGGAGTTTTGGACGTGCGATTCCACAAGATCGTCGCCTTGTTCGCCGCTGTCGCCGTCTCCTCCGGCCGTGTTCTCAGGTTCGATCGTCTCCACGATCTCTGATTCTCTTCCTCCTCCCGCCCCATCCCACTACCGGTCCAGGAATGAGATCACGACACCTTCTTCTCCTGATCCCATCCTCATCAGATCCGTGTCGCGCCGCCGAACCAAGAACGGGGATCGGATCCACAGAGCGCGCGCGCTTGCACTGCTATCGTCGTGTTGATTCCTCTCTCTCTCTCTCTCTCTCTCTCTGACTCTCTCCCTGGCACTGGCAGGTCTCAGGTCCCCCACGGCCACGGCAGCATGATGACGACCCAGCAGGTGAAGACGGCGTCGACTTGCCCGCCGCCGGAGACGGCGCAGGGCACGCACGTGTTCGACATCCTCGGGTACAGCAAGCACCGGGGGATGGGCGCCGACTACTTCATCAGATCCGGCGTGTTCAACGTGGCCGGCCACCAGTGGGTGATCTTCTTCTACCCCGATGGCTACGGCGAGGAGCTGGCCGGGGGCTTCGACTTCGTCTCGGCTTACCTCCGCCTCCTCAGCACGAGCGGCAAGGTGCGCGCCTCCTGCGACCTCCGCCTGGTCAACCCCGCCACGGGGGTGTCCACGTCGGTGCACCCGACGCTGGTCATCATGAGGGAGCTGGACCCGGAGAAGGACAAGGTGGTCTGCCACTGCATGTGCATCGGCCGCGGCGAGCTCGAGGGCACGTACGTGAAGAACGACCGCCTCACCATGGAGTGCGTGGTCACCGTCAGGAAGGAGCCCCGGGTGTCCAAGTCCAGGACCTTCCCCAGCATCCGGGTGCCGCTGTCCAACCTCAAGCGGCAGCTCGCCGACCTGCTGGAGAGCAGGGAAGGTGCCGACGTCACGTTCAGCGTCGCCGGCGAGACGTTCGCGGCGCACAGGCTCGTGCTCGCCATGCGGTCGCCGGTGTTCAAGGCGGAGCTCTGCGGCCCCATGAGAGAGGTGGGGATGGGGACGCGGCCCATCGTCATCGAGGACATGCAGCCTGACGTCTTCAGAGCGATGCTCTACTTCGTCTACACGGATTCCATGGATCACAACGACGATCTCTCCAGAGACTATCACAGCAAGAACTGCGACATGGTCCGGCACTTGCTGGTGGCGGCGGATAGGTACGCCATCGAGAGGCTGAAGCTGATCTGCCAGAGCATCCTCTGCAACAACCTTGACGTGCAGAACGTGGCGACGACGCTGGCCTTGGGTGATCAGCATCACTGCGACAAGCTCAAGCATGCTTGTGTTGAGTTTATGTGTTGTTCGAATAATGTGCAAGATGTCGTGGCGACCCAAGGGTACATGGATCTTGCGAAAACTTCACCTTCTGTGCTAGCCGATGCAATGGCTAGGATGAGTAAGGTCAGCAAAAAGGTGATGCAAGAGCACTGCAAGCCCAAGATGGATCCATCTGATAGCGCCTAGTTGATTAGTTCTTTAGTTAAATACCAATAAGATTTAGCTATCAATTTTCAGTTTCTTATTTAGTTTTTTGTGAACAGTTTATTTGTTATTAGCTAGTGGTATCCCAATAAATACTCCTATGTATGTTAGCTGTTTGTTTTCCAGTGTGCTTGATGTTATCTACCAATTCAGACACGGCTATCTTTTTCCCCAAAAAAACTGTACTGTTTCTGTCCACGTTTATATGCATAAATGTCTGGTAACTTGTATGGTCGAACATCAATTTTTCTTATAAACATAACAATCGAATTTACTGAACTAAGGAGGAGCATTGCACACTAATATGAATAACTTTTTTAAAATGGCATTGTCACTGTTAATTGGTTTCGTATTATTAAGATTACTAGGATGCTTGAAAATATACTAGAATTATTTTATCCTATTGTATAGTAAAAAAATTGAGAAACTGATTAAGACGTAGACTTTAATTGAATATAATTAGAGGAATAAATATCTTCATATGAAACTGGCCACCTAGACCACCACACTGTCGTCGCTAGGCGATCTTCGGAAAGATATAGCAAGCATATGCATATTGATCGATGCGTGTGCCTCTTATTTGTGTATTTTTTGCAACTCAATAATATTCTCAGTTTTGCATTGAAGCTGTGAGGCTAAACTATTTGCTAGTGTGTTTGATGTTTTCTATACTAAATTCAAAGAATGCTAATTTTTTAAGGAAAAAAACTTGTACTGTTTGTGTCCACATTTATTTATATTTATAAATGTCCGGTACCTAGATAGTTGAACATTAATTTTGATGATTATAAACATATAAACCAATCCTATTTATTGAGCTAGCGAGAGGAACATTGCCACTGTTAATTGGTTTGGTATTATTAATATTATTACTGGGATATTTGAGAATACAGTAGAATTGTTTTCATTTATCTTATAGGAAAAAAATTCAGAAACTGAATAAGATGCAGACTTCAATTGAATATAATTTGAGAATGGTTTTTGTATATTTTTTGCAGCTATATTATATATTATATTCTCAGTTTTGCGCTGAAGTTTTCCTTTTGATTTTCGTCTGCGTATGGTGGTCCACATGTCAGCCTCAATAGGAGGCGATTGGTCACGGGCTCACGGCCGGCTATGACCGTTGAGGCGTTGACCGGTACGTAGATAAACGACACCAGTCTCCAACCGCTTTGGTCTGCGGTCTGCCTACCTTGCTCTCAGCCTTTCACCTTCCCATCAGATCCTTCTCCCTCGCGATCACCAGCCAGTTCTTTGAAACATGCCACTGACGGAGTGGGCAGATCCAATCGCCGGCGATGCGCGGCAACAAGGCGCGCACATGCTCGAGGTCACAAGGTACAGTCACTTCCTCCACAGGCGCAGGGGCGTCGGCTCCGCCGGCGGCCGTAGGTGCGTCGAGTCCGTCGGCTTCACCGTCGGCGGGTACCAGTGGGCAATCCTCTTCTACCCCGACGGAGACGACAACGCGCCCGGCAGCTCGGGGTACGTCTCCGTCTCCCTCGCGCTCGTCACCCGCCCCGCCAGGGTGAGGGCGTCCTTCAACCTGGGCCTGGTCAACCGCGCCACGGGGCTGCCGTCGTTCCAGCCCGAGGACACGACGGCGGTGTTCGACAACGCCGCCTGCTGCTGCTGCCGCATGTACCCGTACCCGTACCCCATCCCCACCTGCCGCCACGAACGGAAGCAGGGCTCCTGCCACGGCGTGCCGAGGCTCATGAGACGGTCCGAGCTGGAGGCGTCGTCCTCGGCGTACCTCCGCGACGACGCGGTCACCGTCGCGTGCGTCGTGACGGGCGTCACCGGGACGGCGCTCACGTCGTCCCCTGGCGCGCCGGAGATCAGGGTGCCCGAGCGCAACCTGCACCTGCACATCGGCAAGCTGCTCGTGTCCCAGGAAGGCGCCGACGTGACCTTCGATGTGGATGGTGAGGCATTTGCAGCTCACAGGATCATCCTCGCTGCCCGGTCGCCGGTCTTTGAGGCGGAGCTCTACGGCTCCAGTTCCACTACGGAGACAGACGACGCGCACACTGTCACGGTACGTGACATGCGGCCGGTCACTTTCAGGGCGTTGCTCCATTTCATCTACACCGACTCCTTGCCGGCCATGAGCCATCTGAGCATGGACGAGATGAGAGAGCTGGTCCAGCATTTGCTAGCGGCCGCGGATCGATATGCCGTTGACAGGCTCAAGGTGATGTGCGAGCACATCCTTGCCAGGACACTCCATGTGGAAAACGCAGCTACCACATTGGCTCTAGCCGATCGGCATGGCTGCGACAGGCTTAAACATGCTTCCATCCATTTCATGGCATCGTCTTCAGATAAAAGTGAAATGGGTGATGATGTGGCTATAGAAGCATTGAAGACAATGTAAGTTTCGGCGAAATATAGTGTCCCAATTTTAACATAATCTGGTTGATTTGTTGTAACTTCTTGAATCATATGAACAGTTTGGAAGTAGATTCATAATGCTGGTAATAGTCCCAAGCGCAATGTCTGCACTTTAGTGTGTTCATGTAGAAAGAGCAAGATAGAAATACAGGATTGTCGACGAAATACGTCCGGCAGTTTACCGAGGGGTATGTCCATGTTACTAGATAAATCGGTGGAGGTGCGCATGAGAAAGTCGGACGGTAACACAGAACGCGAGAGACAACGATTAGACAGGTCCGGACCATTAGCTTAACGTAATACCCTACGTCATGTGTCTTTGTGGATTGTATTGCTTATGATCAGATGAAAACGAGGGGGTCCCTACCCGCCTTATATAGCTCGGGGGTAGGGTTACAGATCGGTTGTTTCTATCCTGATCGGTTTTACAAGATAGGAAGTTACAGATATTACGGGATCTGACATATCGAGTAGGTTTCCTACATCATCGAAGATTTTCACGCAGTCTTGCGAGGCACGCCGACCAGTGTCGTGCCTCGCACGACGTCGTCTCGTAGGTTGGGCCTCCACCAGTGGCGTGGCCCATGAGCAGTCTTGTGGGCTAGGCCGAGCCGCTTGCTCAGCCCATGTACATCCCTGCTGGTACCGGGGATTATATCCCCACACCTAGTCCTCGAGCGCCTTGCATCCGTTGAGCAACACCGTCCTGAGCTTGTCCGAGCTATTGAGCATGCATCCGAGCTGCTGAACATGCTATCCGAGCTGTTTGAGCATGCGTCCGAGCTGTCTGAGCATGCATCCGAGCTGTTCGTCTGGTTGTTGGAGCCGAGCACACTCGAAGTCAGGGTTTGTCAGAAGGATGTAAGGAGCTCAAATAAAAAAATTTCAGAGTCTCCACCTTAGGTGAAGTGTGCCCACTTAGGTTCCGGGCATCGAAGTTGGTCGCATGGCGTCCTTGACTTAATTAGTGCGGAAGAACTTAGCCATTTTGTAGAAGATTAAGTCGAAAAATAAGCACATTCACCGCGAGGTGAAGTGTGCCCACTTAGTCCCCGAACCTAGCAGTAGGTGAAGTAGTCACGTGATGCCAGGGTCCAAAGTAGTGCTCTTTAGGTGCTGGCCCAGTCCCCAATGTTGTAGGAAACCAATGTAGAAATAAATACAGTCATTGCGAGATGACGTGTACACACGTAGTCCCCGAGCCTACTGGAAGATTACGAAGAAATCTTGTAGTAGGGCCAGAGAAAGAAAATATCGTGTCGTAGCAACACTCATCATTGAATATCAACCCGCGTTTGACATGGTTTGACGCGGCAGCACACCAGGCCCACTCAGCGGCCCAGCGACATGCGGAGACGTCGGAAGAGAATGCGGCGCAGCGGGCGCAGTTTCCCAAAAACCCTAGAAGGCGGAGGGTTAGGGGTCGAACCGTTATAAGAGCACCGCGACCCCGACGCACCTTCCCCACTTTCTCTTTGCCACTTCATCTTCTTCCTCGTGCCCACACCACTTCGCCTGGCAACTGCTCCGCCATTATAGCAACCTCAAGTGCGCAGCCTCCTCCAAGCGACGGATCTGCTAGATGGCACCCAAAAGAAACCGCGGCAGTTCGAGTAGAGCATCACACGAGCTCAATCGCGCCGAGGAATGGGTGGGGTCTATCAGCAATGAGGCGACACTCAATCGGTCGGTGGAGGACGGCGTGCTGCCCAATAGGGTGACGGCGGGATGGCGTCCGGCTCATGGTGAGAGCTTTCTGACTCCTCACGGCGATGAATTAGTAGTTTTTGAAGATTATTTCTATCGCGGATTTAGCGTTCCAATCCATCCGTTTCTCCGTGGATTGATTGACTATTACGAGATTAGTCTTTGCAATCTGGGCCCAAATTCCATCCTTCATGTCTCTGTCTTCATCCATTTCTGTGAGGCATATCTTGGCATTCTTTCGCATTTTGATCTCTTCCGCCACTTCTTCTATTTGAAAGCCTAGGGGGATCTAGATCTAGGATCGTAGGCAGCGCGTACTTGTAGCTTTGAGACAGGATGGTTGGCCAATACATCGCCACCCCATTGAACACAAATGTGAAGTATTGGGCGTAGCGATGGTTCTACATGCCATAGGGGGAACACTATGTGGCATGCGACATTGATCAGATTCCCGTCAGCAATGCCAAGTGGTCGGAGAGACCTGGTGCCAATGGAATAGAGCAAGTGACAAAGTTGTTAGCACTAATTGACCGAAGAAGGGTGGATGGGTCGTAGTGGTGACAAACTTCACTTTTCGACGATGCTAGCCCAGTAAGGAGAGAGCACATCCCGGATATGAATTTTGGAGAGATACTGATGGGACCCGTGAGGTGCCCGAGTCGATTAACTGGGACGAAGTCATGCGGTGAATTGGGGTGTTATTTAACATCGCGGGGCGTTGTAAGATCGACGATCAGCAGAGGGCCTTTAGTGTAGGGACCCTCCCACCATGGGTAAGAGCCTTCTTTTTATTTCTGGTTGACCCCTTATCTTGTCGCAATTGCAATATACTCATTCGTTTTCCTGAAGATTCGTGGGCAGGATCGGTCGGTATACTTCTCAGCGGTGCCGTTAGCTGACTGGCCGAGGGGTGTTGATGCCCGGCCGAGCCGCCCTCAGCGTCGATTTAGCCTAGAGGCTGGTGGGGACAGCTCAACCGACCTTGACGGCGATGATGAAGATGAGCGAACGTCGTATGTCCGTGAGAAGCTCCGGGGGAAGCGGCTGGCTGGCGAGGAGCCATCCCCCAAAAGAAGAAAAACAACTGCATCATCTCACCATGAAGAGAGGCCTGTAACCATTGGTGCATCCGCCTAGCCTCAAAGACGGCAGGTGGTGATGTCGAGTTAGTCGGACGACGATGAACAAGCGGTTCCTCCTTCATCGAGGGTCGTGACACCCCCGCCGTCCGAGCCAGCTAGGGTGGAGACGCAGGAAAGGTGGTAGACGCAGGGGGCTGCAGCAATAATGCCTGACAGCATGTGGGCGGCAGCAGTAGCAGCAGCTCGGGTGGTGCCATCAACGACAGACCGAACAGCTATCGTAGTCCCCGAGACCACGCGGATGACTCCAGTGGCAGCAACGTAGGCGACCACCGCAGTCCCCGAGACCACACGAGCGAACCTGGTGGTAGGGTTATAGGCGCAGGGCAGTTCGGCTACTGGGTAGACCGGTTCCAGGCGGGGACGCAGGTTCTGAGCTGTGCAACGGGAGTCCCAGTTGTAAGTGCTTTATTTATTTGCCGTATTCCTTTGGCACGGTGGTATGCTTCTTGATGATTTTTTTTGTTGTAGTGCGGAGTCGATGGAGGTCTTGCAGCCATCGACTGCTGATGATGGAAGGCACACAGAGGAGCCGACACCTCCCAATGCCGAGCAAGCACAGGCAAGGGCGGATCCGGTCGCCCTCACCGTGGAGCAACCGACAGTTGCAAAACCGACCGCCCCTACTATGGAGGAGCCCTCAACAACTGGACTGACCTCACCTGGCGGTGGATTGCATGACGAGGGCGATCCTAGTGTAGACGAGGTGTGGGATGCTGCGGTGACGTCGAGTGGCCTTGCCGAAGTAGGTACGGAGCCTGCGGGGGATGCGCTGAGCAGTGCAGCTCAAGGTCCACCCACGGTTGATGAACAAGCATCGTCTGCAGCGACGTCAATGGTGGGAGAGGCGCTCGGATGCTCTGACCGAGCATGGCAGTAGCCAAGGAGGGCACCTTTGTCGGTGGCCGCCGTGGAGATCAAAGAGATAGTGTGGGAGCCCACCCCACCACCCCAACTCCTCCGCATGGTCATTCAGCACGGCAAAGAGTTTGAGATGCTAGAGGTGGTGGAGGCAAGCACGGACACAAAGAAGCTGAGGGCTGATCTGACATCGATGATGGGCCGTATTGAGGTAAGCCTAAAGGGATCTTCGTTGTCCTTTAAATAGCGTAGTCTGTTAATCCGTTTGCCCACTACAGAATGTGATGAAGGTGTCCGAGCAGCGCCAGTGGCAGCTAGAGGAGATGGCTCCGGTACTAGAGGAGAACAAGAGTCTACAAGCATTGGTGAAAGACCTCCAGGCGAGCCTGCTCCAAGAGCACCACCGCAAGGAAGACCTGGAGGTGAAGGTTCTAGCGTTGGAGAATGAGTGCCAGCAAAAGAAGGTGGAGAGCCAGTCGATGGAAGAGTAGCTCAGCAGTAGCACTGATCGGCAGAAAGGTAGGTCTCGGAATTTCGCTTTTGTGGTATTCAGCATTGTGAGACGTCTAACTGTTATACACAGCACTGGAGATGGAGCTCGGCCTTTCCTAGGAGGCCTCCAGCCAAATTCAGGAGGCGAAGGAGAAAGCGGAGGAGAAGATTAAGAAAATCACTAAAGATCATCGACGTGAGTGTTTTTCACGCTATTTTGACTTGTGCGGCATTAAGCGCATGCTTAGCATATGTTTGTCTTGTTTGCAGAGTATCGACACCAGGCCTAGGCGTAGTTCCAAGTGCTCATGGAACAAGTGAAAGCTCATGATGAAAAGCTGGAGGCAATGATCGCGGGAATCCAGCCTGTGCTAGACTGCATCGGCCTTGAGCAACCTGAGGGAGTGCAGCTGCCCGGAAATGAGCCGTACCGATCGGTCATGGATTATTGCTAGACAGCGTGGGTGGACTTCAGGGAGTTCGCATGCAGCGCCACCCATGGAGCCATCGTTCACGCACTCGAGCAGCTACAGTCACAGTACCCTTCAGTGAATCTTCGACGGGTGGTGACTGGGTACGTGCAGGGCACAGACGCGAAGAAGATCGCCAGGCTGGAAGACGATGTGGAAGAGCCGGTGAAGAGGTTGGCCAAAGATGTCGATCTGTTCGGTGAAGGGGGGAGCAGTGCTCCGTAGAGTAGAAAAAACTCATGTTGAATCATTGTACAAAAGTGCTTAGCAACTTTTGGTGAGCACTTGTTGTTATGGTATATTTGTGTTTA